CAAGATGCATAGTATTCCTGTAAAAATATAGTAATCTTACTTCTAACTTATTAAAATGACGTGTAAAATAATAAAGAATGTCATCAATAATGTGAAAACAGCACGGTAATTTACATGCACATAATAAAATCAGGATGATGCTCGTCATTGTCAACAAGAACCAAATATGTCTGTACACAATAAAATCCAAATGATGCTCGTGCATGTTAAAAAAAGCACAGTACAAATTAAACCAAAATAAAAGACAATCGTATATAAAGACTATATCATTAGGGTGAGACAGAAGTTAACAAGGAAACAATGATTCTGGAGAATTTGGAGTCTGGGTTTGAGTTTTAGCTTCATAGTAAAATATTTCAAGAATGGATGACCTCGAAACGTGTTAGAAACTTTCAGTGTAGCATATAGCTTGTGGACTGGTGCCTTTTCATAATAAAGAACAGATGCATTCTACAGAATAGGATTTTGCCATCTTGGAGTTTATTTCATTGAACTGATTTCATTGACACTTATTTATTTATTTATTTATTTATTTATTTATTTATTTATTTATCGTGTGCAGTGCATTCCCAGCCATTTAATATCACCATCAGCAAGGTACAAAGCCTGGAGTCAACCGGGGAACATTGTGGGCAGTTGTTGACAATGAATGAAAGCTTCAAGTTTCTTGTCAGATTTATTGTCAGATTTATTGTCAAAACAGCTGATGAATTAGGTAAATGTACGGCATTAAACTATCAATTGTCCCATATTTTAGCGGGGAGCTGCGGCGGCTATATTGTCATCAAAGTACTGGTAAAAATCTTATCCATTACCTACACGGTTCAATGTTTCTGAAACCGATACATAAGGTGTACGTCAACTTTTACAGTTTTGCGGCAGATCAATAGTGTTTTCCTTTGTTCCTTTGCCAAGGAAAAAAAATATAATAACTTGGTCAACGTAGTCATAAAACGTCTTGCACACAAAATTTGATCTCAGATTCTGAAAGCACTGATTTTCAATAACTTTAGTATGTATGTATGTATGTATGTATGTATGTATGTATGTATGTATGTATGTATGTATGTATGTATGTATGTATGTATGTAAGGATGGATGGATGCATGCATACATGTATGCACGCACTCACGTACGTACGTATGTATCTATCTGCGCGATTTGCACGTTAGCATACTACTGGATAGAGAGTTATAGCAAAAAGTTTACTTCTAAATTTATAAAAGAGGAAAAAAGAAGAAAGGGGAAAAAGGGGGTATAAAAATGAAGAAATTGGTTGTTACTACATGTATATATTTTTTAAAACTTATTCAAAGCTAATAAGCACCGACTTATAAACACTAAAAAACACAAAATTAGAAATCGTATTTACAGTTGATGTTGTTAAAGGGTTTACGCCATTTTTCAGCACAAGAGAGGCTATACACGGCGGCCAGTATTAATGGTGGAGGAAGAACCCTGGAAAACCCAGGGAAGAACCACCAACCTACGAGAAGCTACTGACAGGCTTTCTCACTAACCGACGTTCGCCGAGTCTGGACTCGAACTCACGTAGTCCGAGTTTCCTCTTACCCTTGACACCCCATTTTTGATATATGTTTTTTTTATTATTTTATTTTTGGGCTTTAGGGTCAGCGTCGATTCCCTATCAAAAACTTGGAATTTGCCGACTCCATTTGGTGTCGGCATAGGGTACTCGCCAACTATCAGGCCTAGCAAATTTAAATGACCTTTCATTGACCAATAATTACATTAAATCAATAGGGAAATTATTTATCTTCTTAGAAATAACAGGTATAAAACAGATTTTATCTTTAATCCGTTGTAAGACGAGACGAAACTACAGCGTTGATGAATTTTTACCTTGTTGGCACCATTTTCATTGCTAGTCACATGACTAACTAAATCTCGCGGCCGATATGCATAAACGTCCTAAGTCCAATAGTCACGTGATAACAACAAAGTGCGTTGACCTGTAGTTTCTGTGTGATCAGTCAGCCTCTTTCCAGGAAGATGCGACAGCGACATGTTTCGAGCTGCTATATGTTGAATAATACGTGGGTTTTTTTTTTCTTGTTATTGTAGACATTGCGTGACTTTCATTCAATATTTTCGAGTTTATGTCTTCTTTCTGCAATACTGGTATGGAATGTTTGGTGCATAAACCTATATTGCAACATGGCAGGTAAAGACGAAGCTCTTGCCAAGGATATACTTTAAGAAAAGGGATATTTTAATATTAAAGAACTACAGTATGATGTAATAAAATCAGTTATCAATGGAGGTGACACATTTGCCGTCTTCCACAAGGGGTAAGAGAAAACGCAGTTTTTTATTGTTTATACTTGACTATTTGACCTGTGACGTTTATGCCTATCGGCTGCGAGATTTGGTTAGTCATGTGACTAGCAGTGCAAAGGTTGCGAACGAGGTCAAAATTCATCCGCGACAGCTCGTCGGACGACGGATTAAAGACGAAGTCTGTGTTATGCTAGTAATTTCTGAGAAGATCAATGATTTCCCGATCGATTTTATGTAATTATGGGTCAATGTAAGGTCATTTAAGTTTGCTATGCCTGATAGTTGGCGAGTACTCTATGCCGACACCAAATGGTGTCGGCAAATTCCAAGGTTTTGATAGAGAATAGTTTCCGACCCTCCCCCCCAAAAAAATATCAAAAATGGGGTGTCAAGGGTAAGAGGAAACTCGGACTAGAACACACGCAGACAGGTGATATGGCAGTGATCCGTAACGGTCAACGCTTAAGACCACTTGGGGCTCTCGTACGTAGTCATTCGATAAAAAATATATAATCTACTTTGCTGTTCTAAACAAAATTCAGATCAAACTTTTCAAACATAACTTAATCCGAGTCTCAATTCAGAGTCCTGTGTTCAACACATCTTCATGTTGCAAAACAATCAAAACGCCTGCTATACCCGTGCCTAGAATCCACCAAATATGTCTAAAATGGTGTATGTGGCTAAGTAATACATGGTAATATACTCCAATACAATGTTGTTTTCATTTGACTTCATAATTTACTAATATTATAGATTATATTATAAATACCTTGCAACGGTGATTTTACATAAATTGTGAAGGATAATTAAATTTGAATGCGAATACTTGCGACCAAAGTACGGACTATATGTCCGAATCCCAAGCACCACTCGAGACTGTAGATTCATTTATGACAGGTACTTTCAGGATATGCATTAGATGTACGATTTCTAATGTTATCTCTGTAAAAATAAAAGCTAAATGTGAAGTTCGGATGCGACTATGTTCGTGAAGTAAGACATAAGACATATATATATATATATATATATATATATATATATATATATATATATATATATATATATATATATATATATATATATATATATAATTTTATAGTTGTATTTGTATTTTATCCAACAGCTGTATGTCTTATTTTCATTCTTTTAAATTTATTTATATTTATTGTAAGTGTTGAAGCTGCTGCATCAAATAGATTTCAACACAACGTTTGTCTCTTTTATACGATGGAACCACTGTAGATCAGTTGGTAAAACCTCAGACTTATAATCCATGAGTCGAAAGTTCAATAACCGCCCAAACCAGCATGACCAGGCGGCTTCCGTTTCCTCGGCATGATGTAGCAAAAGTGTAGCTCAAACCAAGAAAAAGGGAATAACTTTAATCGTGTATTGACATTTATTTAAATTTGTTGACTAGTGTGTGCAAAATAGGCTTGGTTAGACCGCATAAAAACCATGAATGCGTACATCATGAATAATGTATGTAGCTACGACCACAAGGGGTATTGGTGTGCGTATGTGTCACAACTTATAATTAGTTGTTTTACGTTAGACTTTCAATTTAAAAATGTATATTAATCCCTCCCTCATATTCCCGTAATTTATTCCCCTCTATACATTGGATTGTTTGATTATGCATTCACAACATCAATGCATGCATTCAAATACACACATAATCACAAACTAAGTTTGTAGGTACATACATACATACATACATACATACATACATACATACATACATACATACATACATACATACATACATACATACATACATACATACATACATACAAGGGTTGTGGATTTCGGTTAAAGCCAGCTCAGGTTATACATAGCTTAAACTTTGTTGCTCCTGAATAGAATTTTAAATATGTTGGAACTGCAATTATCTTTCCTACCTCATCTTAAGTACTCCTGTTGCCTGCCAATATTTTCGTTATTTCAATCTAGACATCACGATATTGATCGAGTTTTGTGACAGATTTATGTCATGTGGACGACAGCTTTGATTTTCGTTGTTGTCCTTATTAACTCAAACAATGAGAATAGCTGATATTACTGTACGATCCACAATTGTTTCACGTTTAATATACACAATAAATAGAAGACTATAATGATCATGTTGTTTTTTTTCATCCAATAAACGTGTGATCTGTTTCCTGGTTTCCATCTTGAACAAGCACGATTTTATGGTGAACCATCTGCTAGTACCGGACGATTGTTTTATAGGTAATATAATCTGTTTAAATCCAACAATGTTACTAAGTCATTGTCATCATCATCAACGCCTTTTTTTTCTAGGTCGTTCAATAGTAGTAAAAAAATTCTAAACCCTCAATCACGAATTTTACAAAGCACGAAGCATTCGAGGAAACCTTGTATTAAAGCTGATCTTCATACCTTAGGACCATGCAGGTATAACTCAACTTCCATTATATATATATATATATATATATATATATATATATATATATATATATATATATATATATATATATATATATATATATGTGTGTGTGTGTGTGTGTGTGTGTATGTTTCAGATTTTTAACATAGCTTTAAAAAAATTTTAGTCATATCGCTACGATGTCTGCAATGTGACAATTTATAGTGATGTCGAGCACTGGGGTATCATGCCGCAGACATGTGGCATGATGTCCCACCCAGTCACATTATCCTGACATTATTCTGAGCGTCTTGGGTATGACTTGGCCAGGGTCAGAACCCGCGACCTCCCGCACCTCAGGCGGACGCTCTATAACCACTAGGCCACCGGAGCGGTATAAGTTATAACGATACAAGAATTGCGAAAACGTGAACAGTGATAAATTTCACCGTTATGAAATGCATCTATTCGATCATTAAAGGATTTTTATACATCGAGTAAGGAATATTACATTGTCTAGTTTTTGTTATATGTTACCAGTAACCAACGACACAGAGCATGATTTTTTTTTTTTTTTTTTGTAAATGGTGTGGTTGGGTGTCATAGGAATTGAAAGTAAAACGAAATATTATAACTTCATCTGTTAGGTCTTGGGAGAAAATCGCTCTTTTTGCGAGTCGTCGTGACACATTGGACCCCAAGACATAAACTGATAGAACTTATTTCTTGAATTTCAATAGGTTTTGGGATAAATGATCTTTTATTGCGGTTTTGTTCCTTATCAACAGCTCTGAGCTTTACTAGTTTAAAAAATTGTTGTTTTTTGTTGTTTTATAAATTTTCATAAGGAATTCGTGACTTGACGACAATAATTGGCCAAAAAATAACCCATTAGAGACAAGTCCAAATTAAAAAAAATTATGAATGGAATATGTACATGTTAATAGCGAGATCCAAAACCACTTCACAGGAGAAGTTAATGACGTCAGCGATAATAAACTAAGAGTTGGAGACGCATCAGTCTAACCAGATTCACAACCTCCTGACAAACTTCCTTTATTGCTCATGTACCAGTTGTTTTATACGAGCGTGAAATATGTTAAACTAACGAAACTCGTACACTTTAATAAATTACTTTATATCAGATACAAATTTTATAGCTTATAACTTCGAAGTTTTCACAAAGTTCAACATAACTTTCACTATGCTACATACAAAACTGCGTCCTGCGCATTCGCAATCAGATCTCTTATGTCCATCCAGCATAGGTAGGATCTTCAATAAGCAACTTTTGACCTAGGTCCCTTCAGAGGTTGAGAGACCTGGACCACTTCTAGGTCCTGGTTATATTAAAATTTGGAAATGAAACGGATGCCAAAATAAGCCCATATAATTTAATATATAAAGTTTTAAATTACAACCAAGTATACAACAAAGTATATTTATTATTTCAGAATTGTTTATTAAAAATACTCTCTTCGATGCACCTAATTAGGGGTCGAGGCTCGGGCCATATGGCTCCTACTTTGAATGGGCCGGATTTAACATTCAGACTCAATGCAGTTCTTTAATATTTTTTTAAACAGTGAGTGTGTCCTTACAGTATATACAATCTCACAAATCACGGGACCATGGGTAGCGTTCGACTTTACCAGTCACTTTCATCTCGCCTCTGTCCGGTTGGGAGTCGTGGTTCCGGTCGATGTCGGTATGTGAGAAATCATGCCAGTAGCTTCCCGTCGGTCGCTGATCCTTCCTGGGTTCGTCCGCCATGTATAAACCTATCGCTCGCTGGCTTTAACTCATTAACTCCTAGCGCCGCGTTTACGGGGTAGCCTACTTCTGAGCTATGTAGCGTTAGGATAATGTGCGACACAATAAAGTGGGTGGTATTATTGAAAGGTAGACAGATGTAGCTTTACGATGATACCAAATAATATGGATGTTTTGGTTGCCCTACAAAATACAATGGGGAAAAACGTCACTTTTTGGACCCGATTTTTTTTCAAGCAGAAATTCGCCCGAAGTGGTGTTCCGGATTTTAGACTTTTTGGCCTCAGATCTTAGACAGACCAGTCTGAATTGCACACAGACATGTGAACCTTTTGCAAAAAGTAGGATAAGATGGACATTTAGAATGAAGAGTGGTCTCGACACGAAAATGATGGGAACGTTAAGCACGGGAAGGTATTGTCATATTTTCTCATACTCACATTCTGTCGAGCTGAGTCTCGGACTCACATGGACAGAGATGAGATGTGTAATTACTGTCAAGGCGAGCGCCTTACACCACTCGGCCACCCAGGTTAATTTGTGTGAATGCAAATTACCATGTATTAAAACTGGAGTGTAGAAAAGTAGTTTGGAGTATTTAACAGATAAATTGCCTATTAATGTAGTTATCTCGTTTGGTGTGTGTGTGGGTGTGTTTCGAACACTGAATGAAATGTTTGCCTGTATTCGATCAGCAAAAAGGTATTACTTTAGCTGATCCCTAAAAAATCATGCAAAAATGACATATTTTTCAGAAAACCCGTCCTTTACCCAACGAGCATTGACGCCAGTCTCTTCATTCCTCCCACCCAGTCACATTATTCTGACACCAGGCAGACCAGTCCTAACACTAACATCCTAATGCTGAGCGCCTAGCGAGGCAGCTGTTATAGCACCATTTTTATAAGTATGACTCGGCTGGGGTTCGAACCCTCGATTTCCCGCATCTGAGGCGGACGCTCTAATCACTAGGCCACCGGAGGGGGTCATTTTTCGAATGGAAAGATGGAAGATAATAATTAGGAATAAAAAGTCGAGTATACAGCATCAGGCAGTTTAATTAATGAAATAAATAATTCTTTAAAGAATTTACAGAAAAAAGCAAAATTTGAAATAAGTGCAATAATTGCGTGTAACAGCAATGTAACAAGTAGATCGCACATGAATTAAAATACGCGCTTGATGATCAGTTTCTTTAATACATCGTGTATAAAAATAGCAATCATTATTTATGCAACACGGTGTTCGCTGATGAACAGCATTCACCTTACTTGCAGATAATGTAGACTCGTATAAACCATTACATAATATGCAGGCAGATTGCAGTCTACATCCTTTGTAAATAGTACATATCATTTATGGACAGATATAGTAGCAAATGATCGAAAGTGGGAACACTAGACACAGTACCGTATAGATCGTCATAAAAGTTAACTTTTACATTAAATAAGATTCCTACTTTCAATCTCGTGTGTTACTAAACCAACTAAATCTGTATTCGTAAGGCACAACTGAATGCAGTTTCAGGTAAGCGTTTAGCGCAACAAAGCCTTCGACATGTTTCTTTCCGTAAGAATGAACAATTTGAATACGTTAAATTTGGCCAATCGCACGGGTGATCAACCCATCCCAATAGAATTCAGTATCGTTATGCTGTCCAACATTAAAACCTGGATAAAACTAAGATTACTTACTTAATTACATGGTATCACTCAAATGATTTGCCCATTCTTGGGCTTTCTATCACCAGATACATCAAAATCTCATATTACAACTAAATACTTAATGTTTGGCCTGCATCACATTTTTTCAAAGAATTTTTTTTCCCAAGCAGACCACTATGCTCAATTTTCAAACCTCGCAATATTTCCCCACATATTACAATTCATATCAATTTTCTCTTTTCAATAACTTTTTTTCCCCTTTAAATTACTCAATGATTCAACAATCAAAATATCACCCCCCCCCAAAAAAAAACAACCGGACGGGTTTCTCATGATCTTTGATTACCACAAAAACAAATTAGAATTTACCAGTCACAAATAGTTGTGTATCTGAAGCAAAACTGACATTCATATGAATATATTATCCGAGTATGCATGTAAAATAACATTTCATTTTAAGACATGTACATAACATATATTCTAGTTTACATGTATCCCTTTCATTTAGGCAACTGTATATTATGAACAAGTAAATGTATACACTTTTATAACACATTCACTATAATGTATACTGACAGATACAAGTGGCATACAAATTTATGTATATGTGAATGTAATATTGATGAATGAATATTCACGATGCATCATTTTTTGCCAAAGCATGAGTAACAACATAGAATGAAATAAAGCATCAGACACTTCCAATAAGCTGAGATCAACATTACTAACTTAAGATTCATTCAGTTCTGAACTGCATCAAAGTACTTGTACGCCCACTTACAAGTCCAACTTCAAATAACATAGACCCTATTTGTCCTCACAAATGCACTGGCAGTTCAGGTCTATGTCATTGATGCAAATGAAAACTCCAAATAAACTGAACTGATTCTGATCTTTTGGTGCATTATGTAACCCCAAACCCAGGTCTGTGCTTTTTGAAGTTGTATTTTGCATATGTATGTATGTATGTATGTATGTATGTATGTATGTATGTATGTGCATGCATATGTATGTATGTATGTATGTATGTATGTATGTATGTATGTATGTATGTATGTGCGTGCATATGTATGTATGTATGTATGTATGTATGTATGTATGTATGCATACACCCACCCACCCACACAATACTATAAAGCACATCAAGTTTAATGATTAATTGATTGGTATAATCAGTATATGAAAATATAACATACAAATTATTATAATCTTATCTGGATAAAGAAACATAATCAATAATACAAATAATCAGTAATAAGGAATGAATATTGGGGTTACTAAAATTCACATATCTATCTTGAAAAAAAAAAATCCAACTTGTACAGAACGTTTTACAAGGTTTGTGAGTAGAATGCTATTAAATGAAGCTTAATACATGATCAACAATTTGAAACCAACCTGGTTAATAAATATAAATGTCTTGACTAACTTCACTAACCATTGAATATATAGCACATAATTTTGCCAGGAAACGAGATTGTAGCTTCATATCTCCAACAAACAAATCATCTCTCTCTCTCTCTCTCTCTCTCTCTCTCTCTCTCTCTCTCTCTCTCTCTCTCTCTCTCTCTCTCTCTCTCTCTCTCTCTCTCTCTCTCTCTCTCTCTCTCTCTCTCTCTCTCTCTCTCTCTCTCTCTCTCTCTCTCTCTCTCTCTCTCTCTCTCTCTCTCTCTCTCTCTCTCTCTCTCTCTCTCTCTCTCTCTCTCTCTCTCTCTCTCTCTCTCTCTCTCTCTCTCTCTCTCTCTCTCTCTCTCTCTCTCTCTCTTTGCGTGCATATGTATGTATGTATGTATGTATGTATGTATGTATGTATGCATACACCCACCCACCCACACAATACTATAAAGCACATCAAGTTTAATGATTAATTGATTGGTATAATCAGTATATGAAAATATAACATACAAATTATTATAATCTTATCTGGATAAAGAAACATAATCAATAATACAAATA